TTCATTTCTAAGGTGTTTATAAACAAAGCTACATAAAAGTTACAATTTTGCTGGATTTGAATTATTATTTCTAAATGAGTGATTTTCAAATAGAAAGTGCAGCAAAGGCTGCCTGCGAATTTTTATTGCCCGAAAAGTCGAAAGTGCGCTAAGGACGAGCATATGGAAATATCAAAGAATGGGGCCCGAACAAAAATACTGGTGTTTCTGAAATGTCACTGCTAACCTTGTAAACTATGGACTGGCCTTAGAATATTATTAGATTCCTAATAAAATTGCACAGTTTTTGAAACTAGAACATCCTGAAACATATACAGGCCATTCATTCCAAATAACATCGACAACATTGCTGAGTAATACAGGAGTTGATGTATTAGCAATCAAGAGACATGGTGGGTAGAAATCAGCCACAATTGCAGAAAGTTATGTAGCCGACAGTTTAAGCAACAAAAATGAAATAGCCAACAGGATTCTTTACAATGACACTTCAACTCCAGGTTCTAGTAGTACGTCGCATCATGCTGTTTTAATGGATCCGTCAGATAATATTGAGCTTCCGGTAAATGAAATGTAGCGGTCAAATCATTTTGAGACAAATGTGACAATTAGTAAACGCGAGGAGAATAATTATTCAGATTTTATAAATGTTACTAAATGTAATGACTGTACAATTATTATAAATATTTATTCATAATAATTAATAAAATGTAATGTTCATCAAATACTTCTATTAATTTGTTCATAAAATATACATTTATAACTCGAAATCGCTTTTTTCCCTATGGAGGTAAGTTACCTCACTCACCTCCCGTTGTCCATAGCTACTTCCACTTCTACGTTAAAATACACTTACCTCCTTAAAAACAATGTATTAATAGTCTATTTACTATAGTGAGAGCAGTTTTCTATAATAACAGTTCCATAGTCTAGTATTATACGTCATCAGTGGAATTGAAGGAATTATTAGCGAAATTGCTTGTACAATTCGCATTAACTTTCATTGTAGAATAATATTCACTAGCAAAAACACTACTTCTCAGTTTTATGCAAACATCCCATTATGCAAAAACTGTCAAACACTTATAAATAACAGTTAGTAACCAGCGTATTTTATAAAACAATATATATTTTCTTTTTATATAAACCTTATGTTGACTAAAACAATGTGTTTACATGACCTGTTACTTTTTATAAAATTTCAAATTTACCTTTAAAAACTGCCGACCCTGATATCTGAAAAATTAAGCCTAACAGGAAAAAATGGAGTTACTTTTTTCGTTTAAAATTGCAGTCTGAACCAGACGCTTAATTTTTGTCACCTGGTATAAATTACCCTATATTATTGGTATTGCAGTATTTCTTTAAGGGATATTTTAGTTAGGTTAAACCACAAATATTATTCCTGACATATTTTTTAGACACAATGTGTAAGTAATTCCGATTAAAAACTTTTTTTAAATTTCAACACCTTTAAAATAAATCTAATAAGTTGAAAATGTTCTAGAAATATCCAGCCATTAATAACACAGGCCCACAAACAGAAAACGAAAAGTCCTTTTTCCCAGACTAAGTGCGCTTTATGTTTTTGATCACGATCATGGTGTCCATATGACCCCATCACGTCCAGGCCAAGGTCAAATGAAGGTCACACACATTAACTCTAATGATACAATTTTTTTGACCTCGCATTTTAAGAGAGCGGAAGATTTTACATCTGAATTCGCTTCGATCGTTTGGTCGAACCCAATTTTCCACTCTTTCGGAAACCGGGGTCAAAAAAATTGTATTATTCGAGACCTTCATTTGACCTTGATCTAAACGTGATGGAGTCATATGGACACCGGGATCGTGATCAGCGACTCCAAAAACTTAGGGGTCAACTGGTTTGAGACCAATTTTTAATTACACAGAAAAATTAATAACCTACAACAAATATTACCTTATCAATTAATAAAAATTTTATTTCTGACTGTGGAGCATAAATTATGCTCATCTGTTTAGTAAATAATACTATTTCATTACAAAATAATTTAAATAAACTCGCTATTAAGCTTTGTTTTTTTTTCAAACTTCTAAAGATTTCATACAACCGCATTAATATATTATTTTGAAGCCAAAATAAAGAGCACCCTTACTTTTCGTTGTTCTTTGACATAAAATAACAAGTTAAAGCTTGTCTGCTACCGGTGATATTTCAATGAATGAATCAATGTAAATAACAAACCAATATAATTATTTCCAAAATGACCCTAATAAAAGTATCATAAATCACTACAACTGATAGTTAAGCATTTATTATCAGTTTTCTGAAGAACCATTTTATAATGTTTATCCAAAATGGTGTTGTTGCAATGGTACTTTGTTTGAAAACAGAAAACATGTCAAAACTTCTTTGAAAAATGCTAATGATCAAAATTAATATTTAGGGTGGTTACATTAGTATAGATACCCCACTTTTTAAATTTATGTAAGGTTAAGTATTACTTGCTTGTTCATTATTTCAAAAATATTTGTGAGACGTTTTCATCTTGACTATCTAAATTTTTGTGTTGTGCATTTATTGTTAGACGAATCTATGTTTTTCATTTAATATCTGCAATAGTGTTATTTTCTGATACGAACTTATTATTATATACCTGTCTCTTTAGTATTAACTACCTGTGGTAGTTATTAATAATCTTAGGTAGGTACAAATCCCAAATATCTGTAGGTAATACAATAATTAATTATGCTAGTAACATGAAATACTTTTAATATCTGCTTTATTACCTATCGAAAAGGGTCCGAATATTGTATAATTTACCGATTTAGTCTGCAAGTGCACTTGTTTTATGGAACATGGCAGAGGACAGTTCGTGTTTTTGGAGTTTTTGTTTAGACCTGTTCGAGAATGATTCGCAATTATGTGGTACGTATTAAAATTATGATATTGATTTGCTTAGATAATTTAATTGTAAAGCTAATTGCATAAAAAGATAAATTTAATGAATTGTAATTTCCTACCTAGAATCATCATATGTATAAAAGATGATTGAAAATCACATTTTATATTAGCAAAGAGGAACACCTAAATTAGTTCAATTATTTCTTTTCTAAAAAGGAAAATTTTATTATCAGTTATGTTTGAAAACAAATTGTTAAAAGTACAGCTCCAGAAGTAAAGTTTATTTGAAAAAAAGGATTGTTCAGAATTTCCGAACACATATATATAATGAAAAAGAAATATTTGAATTCCAACTAAAGTTTTTTTCTTCAACTTGTTTCATTAAGGATAGGGATATTCGCATATTTTTTTATTTCCCTTATGGTATAGTAAATAATAAAAACTGAAGCCTTGAAATTTTCTATTGATATAAAAGAAAAACATAAAAAAAACAATAGAATGTTACATTTCGAAGCAAAATGGAACGCCCGTTATATGTATGACTTTTGGGTATCCTCTCTTTTTCTGATTACATAATTGCCATTGCATATTTTTGCTAATAAATTTACTAAACAATTTGGAAGCAAATATTGTACTAAAAAATGCGTTTTATAATAACCGCATTATATTCTAGACTAAATTATACTCTTAATTATATTTCTCTTATAAAACGGCAATTTTATACTCCTGATCTGACTCCCATGTATATTCTGTGGGGAACTCTAAAAGTAATTATACAGGGTGTTTCAGAAAGACCTCCCGTAAATACAGGAGGTGATAGTACGACAAAAAATAAGAATTTTTTATCATATGAACTATATCTATCTCCTCTTATTTTCGAGATACAGAGAAACAAAATAAAAAAATTTTAAATAGAATTTTTACGAAAATTTCCAAACGGTGCCCAATATTTTTATGAAATTTAGTATTCCGGGCTTTTTAAGGATGCCAAATACACTGATCTAATTATTTTTTGATTATCTCATAGAGGGCCCTAATTATGCTACATTCCTATTACATTTTAATTGAATTCAAAATTTTTTTAGCTAGGTTTTTTAGGGGCTCCAATTTCTAACGTACAATTTTATTTTCTAAAAATAATGTACCTACTCTTGTTAGAACTTCCTAATGTGGACGGTTTTCGAGAAAAAAGGCTTTTAATTGAACTCTTACAATATTACGGTGTATAAAATAAGTGACTTTTCTCAAAGTAGGCTTACTTCGAAACTTATTGATGGATGTGTCATAAACAACGCATACATTCTCAGTAATATTTTAAACTCTAATTAACTTTATATCAAAATTTCAGTGACTGTAATTAGTCATTACTAACTACAGTCACTAACAATCACTAAAATGTAAATGTTATGTGAATACCCCCTTACATACAAAATTATATCAACTAAATTGGACTAATTAAAATGTTATCAAAGATATGTAAAAAGTAAAAATTAATTTTAATTATATTTTCCGACTACGTTTTATTTATATCTAAACTAAAAGTGAAACTGTGTACCTAGATAAAATAATTTGCTAACCAATCTGTGTAAATATAGACATACTTTCTCAGTAACAAAATTTTTGTTTCAGATTATATCATCAGTCTAGGAGAATGGGAAAATAAGGACTGCTTTGTAAGCGATTCCAAGCATAGTTGTTTATTGGCCACAGAAGATGGTACAACTTTTACATTTATTAGTAAAATAAAATATTGTAAAATTGTCAAACTGTAATGATTTAGCGGTTACCTTCCGTATTCCCTCGACCCCCACCACAATAATTTCACCTTAAATTAGTTACTTTACATCCCCTTTCACTATACTAATGTATAGAACTGCACCACATTCTTGTAATTGTACTTTTTCTATAAAATATAGAACATATTATAATTTTATCGGAAATTAGTTACATTACATCCACTTTTACTATACTAATGCATAGAACTGCACCACATTTTTGTAATTGTACTTTTTCTATAAAACATAGAACATGTTTTACAGTGCTTTAATATAAAATTTTGTTAAAATCTAAAAACCTTCTTGTAGTATTATTAATGTTCTTTTTCTTTATGTTACAGATTGCATCCCATCCTGCTCGAACATGAAGTCTCCATCCGCAGCTACCGATGATTGCGACGATATCTTCGGGCCACCACGCACCTACCCTACCGGGTACAGTCCCCCAAAGAGCCGCCTCTCCATGATATCCCCCAAGTATCGCCAGAAGGAGGAACAGAGAAAGGCTTGGAAGATCAGCTTCAACAAACTCAGTAAAATAGACGACAAGGAAGAATGTCTCTGTAGATGGGTGATGATTAGAAACGTCAAGAAAAGGTTGGAACAAGAAACTATGAATGAAACCATCCTAAAAACCCAGGTTAGTTACCCTCGGTATGACAACGATAACTACCTGAGTCTGAAGAGTGATTTTATGTTCAAGAACGTTACAAGTTACGGTGATTCTCACTACTATAACAGCTCTGAAGATTCCTTCGTGGTTGAGCCAGATTTTGATGCCAAATTAGCTGAGGAAATCAACGAAGTCAACGCCAAGACCATGGAAGCCATAGGAAATTTCGTAGAGGGCAATTTGGGTAGTTCAAACCTACCTAGTGAAGAACCTGCTCCCGAAAACGAAAGATTTACTTCAGGGAAGAGATCCTTCGACGATTTGGAGGATTGTGACGTTCAAGACGTCTTGTCCCAACTATACATGCCACCTACTCCTAGAATGCTCACCACCATCGACGACGACGAGGGCGAGCCAACTCCAAAGCGAATAAAGATGGATTTACCTCCAACAGAAGATTCCATAAGTGTTAGACTAGATAAATCTAGTTGTGATAAATCTGTTTCGGAGTTTAGTGTTAATAGCTTTCTTAACAATAACGTCTCCTCGTCAGAGGCCAGACTGAGGTACCTAAGCACGCAAAATGAATCGGACTCAAATCCATACAGTTGTGGTCACGCTTCCATGTTCAGTGAATTACAGAACAACGTTTATCACAATCTAATCGCATCACTAGAAACGTAGCTTCTCAAAGAACACTCCTAGACAACGATAATTGCTTTTTTAATTATTTATATTGTGATAGTATGATAATTCGTACTTCTTTTTAAAGCCAACAAAGGTTGTAATTTGTTTTGGAAATGTTATGTTGCCTAGGAAAGAAGCTCCAAAGGCATTACACAAAAGTTCTTTCAAACCATGTACAACAAAGCACAAAAATAATGAAACTATTACGAAATGATCCTCTACCAGAAAAAGTACGTTCCAATAAAAACAAAAAATATATTAATAATTATAATAACATAATACTTCATTTGAAAAGTCTCTTCATTTCCTACGCAATTGTACTTTATTTTTATTTTATAAAATATCTCTAAAATTATTTTCAATCTTTCTGTAAGAGTGCAGCAAAAGGAATGATTTTCCAATTCAACAAGTTAAAATGAATTAAGCTTTAAGGCATTATTTAAAATTATGAATTAATTTAATTAATAACAGATATGTGAGAATGGTTTTTGAAAATATTCATGTTGTATAAAATTAAATGGTTTTAAACAACGCATCGAAAGACGGAAATTTTTATAAATTTACAGAATGCATTGTAAAACGCATAGCAATGTAGAAGAAAATGGACTTTTCAGATGAGGTATCATTTTACCATCATTCCAATTAAATCTTTTATGGTAGGAGTTGCCGAAAAATTAACTATAACGATCATTTTTTCAAAACTCAATGCATAGCAACAAATTTACTTTGTTCACGCGTAAGAACTCATATGACGTATTGCACCGCAATAAACTGTTCATCATTCAATAAATTTGTAAATACCTGTATCAACTCATAACTACAGCAGTTGTTAAAAATTTATCAAAAATTGCTGATGTTTCTATTCGAGTATCTGGTGCATTTTTCCCAAAATATATAATTATATTCATTATTTTTGAGTTTACTTGAAAATTTTTCCCACTCAATACCTACCAACGGGCATCAATAAAATAATTCTTATAACAATACTTCTCGATTCCATATTTGTGTAACGGCCTTTGGAAAGCTGTACAATCGATGTTTAACATGTATAAGAATACAGCTCTCTGCTCATAAAAATGTTGTACCTTTTCCTACTAGGCACTTATTGCAGGTTGAATATAGACATATTTTTTTCATCATACAAGAGACGGCGACTTACAATCGGTAATGTGCTACCGAAGCGACGCCGACCTAAAAAATTTAATTTCTTTAGTGGCACACAAAAACGAATACACTTATTTGAAGTGAGCAGCTAAGGAAACCGAGCAGTGCTTCTACCTTGTCGATTTAGGTATATACATGTAGAGAGCAATTCAAATCTGTGATATTATATCTTAATGAGATGTGTTGAACTTAGATTAATTTTAACAAATCTTGTAAATTGTTAACCTAACTTAGATTTTAAAGTTGTACAGATGAGGCTTGTGTGATTTGTAAAGCTCGTACTTCAGAAGTATATAATTTTCTAGAGGCAGTAAGTCCTGCGGCTTTGGTAGATACGTGTCCCCCACGTTCCACATTCATATCAGAGTATGAAAGCAGCTTATACTAGATAACATATTTTTTAAAAAATGAATTTTTATAACGATTTTGGATTTTTATATACCTGCCAAATCAAAATATTTTTGACATAGACAAATCTCTAATATATTTTAGTAGTTTTCTATTATTGACTTAATGATTATTATTATTTGTTAAAATTGTTATTTTAACTGCATTTTTTTTTATAAATATTTTTTATTGTAAAAGGTCCTGCCATATTTTTGTATTCATTGTAATCAAAATTGGACATATCTTTGATTAGTTTAATTTTTCATTATGTTATGTTATTTTTAATTAATTATTATTTTTATTTATTCTAAATCGCATAGAAACATTGTTTATTATACAAATTTGTTTTGTAAGATACCATTTTTAAGAAATCAGGAGGAAAATAATTGTAATAAGAACTATTTTTGTTGATACCAAACGAAGAATGTTACCATGCTGACATACCAGTCCTGTATAAAATTTCTATATTATGAATTATTATACTGTATATGTACATTAAGCATTATCTATTATCATGGATATGCAATAAAGTACCTGAAAAATGACAATTCATTCATTTTTTATCATCCGTTATCCCTAAGAAAAGTTGGTTTAACATCAACTACTTTCCCTTTTGAGGCAAATAAAAATTATTCTTAAGAAGTTTTATTAGTATCGTTTTTTTTTAAATAATTTTGTTTAATATTTCGATATTTTAAAAAATCCCGATACAAAAAATAAAATAGTTAATAAAGTTTTAATACACAGCCTTCATTAATGATTATAAGCCGCATACTAGTAATTTTGTTGGGAACAGTAATATTATTTCCTTCGCGTGGGCAATTAAATTTTAATATAATTAAGAATGACTAAACAACATTATGTTTCAAAATTTTATTTAACCAATATAGGCAGCCGCATTATCTCGAATGTAGACGCAATGGATTTTTAGTTCACAGTACCAATCGTGGAATATTGGTTGCCTATACCCGGTGATCACATGACTTGTAATCACTAATAAAGGGTCTGTATAATATTTCTCTTGATAGTGGTCAAGGTAATTAAACAATTAAATAAAAATATACATTTTTAAATGTTTCCTTATTAGAAATATATACCAGTTGTGCTGAAATACATTTTCTGTTTATAATTACTAGGCACAGAATCATTTAAATACTTATAGATGAAGATATATTGAAAGGACTGCTTGTAGCTATTTCAAAGTAAACAGCATTTTAAATGCAATTGTTTACGAGTATGTTGCCAGTAATAATACACACAACATGTGATACGTAACACTTTATAATGAATAAGAATAATATCCAATAAAAATTTGACCGCTTTGCTTATTAGCACTTCTTTTGAAGGTTTTTTTCCTTGGTGCAGATTTAGATGCTGCTGAACTTTTATAAATTTCTTACAAAAATTTTAAAATTCTGGTACTTGGACTACTTTTTTTGTACTTAATAATTTGGAATATCAATTTTAATTCAAAGTAGTTTTTACACAAAAAGGAAATTTTCACGTGCAAATGACAGAAAAATAGAGAAAATCAATACTAATTTTAAATTCTGAACAAGTTTCCTAACAAAAATTTTTTGATTTCCTATACCACAGGGAAATATACCTAATTTAATTAGAGAAAATATTTCTTTTTATGCGCGACAAATAAGCCTAGTGAACTTTTCAGAAATAAAAGTACATTACAAATTACAGCACAAATATTCCCCAAAATGTACAAAATCCACGAAAATTTTAGTGTTTTTTTTAAATTTTTGTTCATACCAATGGTTATGATGACGAGGATATCCTGTATATATTATGTTAGAAAAATATTAGCTATTTATGTGTTTCTTAACTATTTGGTGTATTTTTCATTCTAAGGACAAACTACAGTATTTTTATTTATTTCTTAATGGGCAACGTCCTGTAGATTGACCCATTTTCAACTGCATTTTTGTAAATTTGAACAGAAATAATGAAAAATAAAAAAACTTTTGCTTTTTTCAATTCCATCCGCGACACTGTATTTTCTGTCAGAAATACTAAACAAAATTATAGTATATATGTATAAAAAAACGACAAAAACAATAGGTTATTACCTATTATTATCTGTTATAAAGGAGTTCTGACCCTCCAAACCCTTTTTTACTTTCAGATGTATGCAACCAGTTATACATTTAGTTATACATTTAAGCTAAAAAGATATTTCACGAATATAACCATTAATTAATTATTAATATCTCGTGGTTCAGTTTACAGAAAATTATTAAACCTGGCGAATTAAATAAGTTAATGCCCATATTATACCAATATATCTCAGGGTAAGGATCACTTAAATGGACATACTTATTCACTTATACTTGTCTTTATTTCTATGCTGTTTCAGTTAAAATTTATTTCATTATGGTCAAATATTTTATTTTCTTTATTATTGTGTATATTTAGTAATGTTTTCTGTAATTTCGGTGACAACAGATCCGTAAAAAACGTTTAATTTAGTGAATCTTGACCTGGTGTTAGAAAAAAAAGTTATTTAGAAAAAAAAATTACTTAGCAGTTTTTAAGTAGCCAAAGTAAAATTTTCAGAACGATTAAAATTTAATTTTTCATGTATTTTTTTATGTAAATAAGCAATTGAAAAATTTTGACCCTGATCTAATAAATTTTAACAAGTTAATGTTTAACAACATGTAAATATTTAAAATATAATTCTGAACCGGAATGAGCAAAACAACTGAGTGTTGCATTTAAATTTCGGACGTTGCTGCCATTCACACATACTATTCAACAGAAAGTGATTTTCTAAAATTAATCAATTTTACTGTTTTACTAATATTCAATATGCGTGCCATTCGGAAAAGAGCTATAATGTGATTCTATGGGTTATAATTATACATAAGTACGTACGTCATGGGCGTAGCTAGGAGGGGAGCAAGGGTGCACACGGCCCACCCCAGAAAGCCCGGTGTCCACCCCAGTAAAAAAAATCATTATCTTTATCATATCGGTTCAAATTTTATATCGGTAAGTCGCTGATTGCGAGAGCTTTTTTTAGAGTTCTCCATAGAACTTGAAGCCCTAGGTCCACCCCAAGCAAGATTTGTAGCTACGCCCATGAAGTACCTACATATATGTGATTGAAATTTAGGTGCTGCGTAATATGGCGTCAGAGATAAGAGCTGTCAGTTGCTCTAATGAAGTAGGTACTTAAATGATCATTGACCAGTCAGTACAGAACTAATTAGTGTCGGTCGATATGTAGGTACCTATCGACACTGTTATTGAGTATCGATATATTTCAATTTTCGATAATTGACAATGACGTCGATACTTTTCGTCTTAAAGTATCGATGGATCGATTTTTTTTAAAAGTAGGTTGGTATATGTATCCATGTATCGAAATAGCTTTTCAGATTAAATTATGTACCTATTGGTAACTCTACTGAAACAGGGACGTCCAAATGTCATAAACTATTATACAGTAACACTAGCTTATAAAACCAATAAACACCAGCTTGTTGTTATTTTGATTACAAACTATTTACAAAAATATTAGAAATTAAACATAATATTAACTTAATTTTATACCTATGTATATTCTAGTTAATACTATATGTAACAGTCAGCATTATATAAAAAAAACATTTATGGTATATTTTTATTTATATTTGATACATCATGGGCATATTTATATTCACTAATTATTCACACTTCTTTTAAAGGTTTTAAAAATATATCTGCAAGTATTCATACTTTACCACTGAACTGATAAATTTTCTGTTATTTAATTCGAATTCGAAACAATATTTTTCCGATATCGATATTTTCCGATGCGATTTGCAGTGTCGTAGCTAAGGTCATGAGCGCCCAAGGCAAGATTTGAATTTTGCGTCCTCCAAAACTTATTTTATAGGAAGAGAACCAATACAATAACTTTAAACTGCGTCCTCTTGACGTTTGCGCCCCTGGCAGCCGCCTCCGCGGCCAACCCACAGCTACGACGCTGGCGATACGAATTGACACAAAATAGCAACATTCTCCCAACATGATTGGCTTATGACTGATGACAGGAACAGCCAATTACATTCCGCGGCGAGAGAGAGACAGCTCTTACCTACCTTCTTAGAACATATACTACTGAAGGCAGCGTCCCAGTGGCCGAGAGTGTAGCAGAGGTTTAGAGAGAGAAATATAGGAGTGTACATGCTATCTCTCTCGAGCAACATGCTGCTAGAGAAAGATAGCACATACCCTCCATCTCTCTCTCTCTCTCTCTCTCTCTCTCTAAACCTCCGCTACACTCTCGGCCACTGAAACTCTGTCTCCAGTAGTATATGCTCGAAGCCTACCTTTGTAGCTCATATCTCTCTCTTCGCCTTGTAGCCAACGGCTGGGTTCTGGGAGGCTACCTCAAGTAGTATATATGTTCTAAGGTATTTCCCAACACCCAACACTAGTGAACTAGTGTACTAACACTGGTCTGTGGTCTAACAATAAGACCACAGACACAGATTGATTATACGAGTACAGTCAAAGTTTACAGAATATTTATTCTGTAAACTTTGGTACAGTTAAGAGCATTAACGTCAGCTCCTTTGATTTCAGGGTCCCAGATTTTTTTTTTTACAAAATATTGCATGTATAACCAACATTTGTTACATAAGTAAATATTTTCAACATATTCAAATATACAATTTTCATTTTATTTATGTATACATTAATTACAAAGACTTTATTCTGTTTGCTAATAGGTCCCGAGAACTATTTGAAACACCTAGGTAAATTGTTCGGAGTTAATCGCATGCACTCTGAGATTTAGGACATCATTTGATCGACTGTATCCTATGCTGAAACCACTAATAAGAATACATGTTACAATTTCATATTAAAATACATACTTTTCATATGTGTGCGTGTGTGAATGTGGATTGATGGCTTTGGTAGTACCAAACCAATTAGCTAGAGCTATCATACTTTTCATATAAAAACAAAGATAAATACAGTTTTCAAAAAACTTGATTCCAATGATGTCGTTTTCAAATATGTAGTTGCTCTTTTAAACATTCAAATGAAGTTTTTTTTACGTTTTACGTTTTAATTAATTAATTAATAATGTACATACGTACATAGGTACATTTAAATATACCTACTACGAAAAATGCGAATAAATACATGGCAATTAGAAACGATAGACGCTATGTTCTGTCACTTTACTGGCCTAACCCGTAATATACTCACTGCGCCTTCCATTCTCATGTTTAGTTCAATGCATATTTCTTCACGAAGTCTCCGCTCTCTTCTGGCCAATAAAATTAGTTGTCGTGGTATCACTAAAAATTTGTATCCAATAGCCCTTCGCCACACTTGACGTACCGGCAAACAAGAAGGTCTGTTTTGTCAAATGCAGTCAAATTTGTGACATTGTGCTGTGTTTTAGAACAATTTGTTTGGCACATGTAATTTCTGACGTGGACATTAAAACTTGAATAAAAACTCTAGGGAGTGAAATTATTCTATTGTATCCTGTTAGTTTTAGAAGTTAATGTAAGTATCTCTGTTTTATTTACACAAAAATTGCGATTCTCTTTTTATAACCTCAAAATGAACTTACCATCTGTAAATGCTTTTATTGTGTCTTATAGTTTCTTTTTCAGTTTTAGGTAAAAATGAAATTATATATCCTTATATCTACCCTCCTTTTATGTCTTATTGGATTGACCCTTGTTAATAGTTTGGCAGTAATGTCTGTTGATTTGGGATCAGAATGGATGAAAATTGGAATAGTGTCCCCTGGTGTTCCAATGGAAATAGCACTTAATAAAGAATCCAAGCGTAAATCACCAGCTATTATTAGTTTACGAGATAATATTAGATTATTTGGTGAAGATGCACAAACAGTCGCTGTTCGTTTTCCAAAACAAGCATATGGTTATTTGTTGGACTTGTTGGGCAAAAACATAAACCACCCCCTAGTAAAGTTATATCAAAAACGTTTTCCGTTCTATGAAATCGTAGAAGATCCAGAGAGAGGTACTGTGCTCTTTAAACATGATGATGAAACTTCTTACAGTCCTGAAGAATTAATTGCACAGTTACTAAAAAAAGCGAAAGAATTTGCAGAAAATGGTGCACAGCAACCAATTAAGGAATGTGTTTTGACAGTACCAGGTTTCTTCAATCAAGTTGAAAGAAGGGCTTTGTTACAAGCTGCTGAATTAGCTGGATTAAAAGTATTGCAATTAATAAATGATTACACGGCTGTTGCCTTAAATTATGGCATATTTAGATCTAAAACTTTCAATGAAACATCACAGTACGTCATGTTTTACGATATGGGAGCCTCTTCCACTACTGCAACTTTAGTAAGTTATCAAACAGTTAAGACCAAAGAACGTGGTTACGTCGAAACACATCCTCAAGCATCTATTCTTGGAGTTGGTTATGATCGTACTTTAGGAGGTCTTGAAATACAAATACGGTTGCGAGATTACCTTGCCAAAAAGTTTAACGATATGAAAAAAACTAAAAACGATGTTTTTAAGAATCCCAGAGCTATGGCTAAGTTGTTCAAAGAAGCTGGTAGAGTAAAAAATGTATTGTCTGCAAATGCAGAACATCCTGCTCAAATCGAAGGATTATTAGATGAACAAGACTTTAAATTAATAGTTACGAGAGAGGAAATGGAAAAGTTAGTTCAGGATTTATTTGAACGTGTTAGCAAGCCCGTAGAGCAAGCTTTGAAAACTGCTCATCTAACTATGGACGTCATAGGTCAAGTTGTATTGGTCGGTGCTGGTACTAGAGTGCCAAAGGTACAAGAATATTTGCAAAAAGCTGTCGGACGTGAGCTTGCGAAGAATCTAAACACTGATGAGGCTGCCACTTTAGGTGCAGTTTACAAAGCAGCCGACTTGAGTACTGGATTTAAAGTAGCTAAATTTATTACCAGAGATGCAGTAGTTTTTCCAATTCAAGTCACATTTGAACGTGGCACTGAGGAAGGAATTAAGGTGGTGAAACGCACTCTCTTTGGCTTGATGAACCCCTATCCACAGAAGAAAATTATTACATTCAACAAGCACACTGATGACTTCAGCTTTAATGTTAATTATGCTGACTTGGATTACCTATCGAACGATGAGATCCTTTATGTTGGCTCCACCAATTTGTCAGAGTATAAATTAAGTGGTGTTGCTGAAGCTCTGAAAAAGAACACTGGGGAAAATGTTGAGACCAAAGGTATTAAAGCACATTTTGCAAAGGATGAATCTGGCTTGCTGAATTTGATAAATGTTGAGTTGGTTGTTGAAAAGACAATTTTACCCACCGAAGAAGAAGAGGGAACCTTGTCGAAACTAGGTAAGTTCATAAAAACAAAATACGATTTATTTTTGCAAGAAAATGTTTGAGTTTTAAATTTGCCTATACAGGGTGATTCATAAATGGTGATCAAAAATGAAACTTCGTATTCTTTGGCGAATTTTAAGGGGACTCTTCTATATAAAGTTTTTATCTAGGACGTTTTGTTAAAAAGATACAGGGTGTTAAACTTAAAAAAGTTTTTTAATTTTTTAAAATAATTTAAAAACTAGTACCCAAGTGAAATAATTTGAAACTAGGCACATGTATTTATGTAAACATTGTCCAAAATCCGAAGCCTTTTGCTAAAATTTATATACTCCAGTGGCGGAGATAACAGAGTATCGGTGGCATATTTTTCTAAATAAAATATTACGCCACTGCTTTACGGTAACAATCATTATATTTTCGGATTTGTCTTTCAGTTTTCTACAAATTACTACTCTTATGTTTTTCAAAAAAAGTCCTCAAAATCATATTTTTAGTACAAATTTGTGGCATTATTGTTAGTTAAGCACTTACTTCAATTTAATTCTTACAAGAATACTATATTTTTAATTATAAAAGGTGTATTTGACAACTTCCAAATTTATACTTACAAGGGGTTTATTTGATAAAATTAATATACAAAGTTCAAATAAACTAAAAGTCAATTCTGACTCTTTGGCATCTTGAAGATGAGCTGTTAACAGTACATCTTTTTTCTTCTAAACCAGTTATCAAATTTCAAATTCTTTTCTGGTTTTTGATCATATCAAGCAATGTTCTTCGATACCAAAAATCCAAGTATGCAAAAGATATCAAACCTCACAGACAAGGTTCCTAACCCATGATATTGTAAGAAACAACAACTCATGGGCTACATGCTCCAATTAGCATTGAATTGTACCAGCATTATCTAGCAAACAGCTAATAAATAAGTAATTATCTAAAATAAATTTTAAAAAATTTATAATTATATGTCTAGGACATTGATTAAATAATAATATGAGGCCATTAAAATTTAATTTAAATCTGGCTAAATATGGCTGATCCCCATGTTAAATTAACGAACCTACCAACTTGACGCCAAAGCTGATTGTTGCGTTAATCAACAGTCGAATTTGATCCAATGGGATTAGTTATTTCGTTAATTCAAATTTGAATTTTACGGCAGAGAAACAGATAATCTAATTTAGCATAATTCTACGAAATTCTGTGCTATTTTGAAATGGGGACATTTTTGAAGATGCCGACGAAGATAATTCAATTTACTAAGGGGCAGCACACGTATACAGTTCGAAATCGACGCGACAATTTAAATAAAGGGATCAGAAGTTTTTTTAATAGCTGTTTTACATTGACAATTTATTGATCAATTAATTCATGAAGTTGCTTCATCAAGAAATTGGACAAATGTAATGCACCAAATCTGCTGTCAAATAATTTAATTAATTTATTAATCAAGTTCTTGACGAAATATAGCTGTTTTACATTGACAATTTATTCATGAATAAATTGACGAAGTTCTTCATGAATTAATTCACGAATTTATTGGTAAACAGTGTGGTTTTACATTGCTACAGACTTTGTCAAGTTTTTTGACGCATGAATCAGTTCTACCAATGAATAAAAGAAGCAAATAAATTTCAAAAATGTCACCTTTCCGCTCATAATTGTAGTGATACAACAGCGGTACCGTTCTGACACATATCACAAAAATATTATTTTTTGTAAGTAAGAAATCAGTAAGAACAATGCAAAACTAATATGACGCCAAACAGTTATTTACATATTCCAATAACATTACTGATCTGAGGCTGGAAATCTGTTGGGTTGGTACTTCTGAATTTCACGAAAAAATTGATGAAAATTAGAACATGCTCTAATTCGTCAAGAATGAATAAATTTAAGAAGTTATTTGACAGCAGATTTGGTGTATTACACTTGTCCAATTTCTTGATGAAGCGACTTCATGGATTAATTGATCAATAAATTGTCAATGTAAAACAGCTATTAGAGTATGTTCCAATTTTCGTCAATTTCTTCGTGAAGTTCAGAAGTATCAACCCAACAGATTTCCAGCCTCAGATCAGTAATGAGGTTATGTTATTGGAATATGTAAATAATTGTGTGGCGTTGTGCTAGTTTTGCATTGTTTTTACTGATTTGTTACTTACAAATACTAATATTTATATAATATGTGTCAGAACACGCTGTTGTGGGGTTGTGGCAATTATGAGAGGAATGGTGACATTTTTGAAATTTATTTGCTTCTTTGATTCATTGGTAGAACTGATTCATACGTCAAAAAACTTGACAGAGTCTGTAGCAGTGTAAAATCGCACTGTTTACCAATAAATTAGTGAATTAATTCATGAAGAACTTCGTCAATTTATTCATGAATAAATTGTCAATGTAAAACAGCTATAGCAGATTTTCACTGAGGAAAGCTACTTTGAAATCTAGTAGATCGAAACATTGCAATACTCACTGAAAATTGAGGTTAAGAAAGCTCTCATTAGATATCCATCACCATATCAGTGTAACCAACAGAAAAAATATTAAACTTTTATTTGTTTCTATCTTATTTTATTTTTTAAGTAAACAAATCTACCCCTATTCCTTATAGTTTTATTTATGAGCCTACCTTTGCGAATGTTTCTAGTTCGGCTTAATGGTACATTAAACTTAATGTTCTACTAAATGTAGCGCGAAGTACAGAAGTATTTACCTGTTTATTAGATGATTATTCTTTAATCGGCATTAACAAATGGCCAATTTTAATTAGGACTCAAAATACAAGGCCTACATATTATTATTATTATTATAACACATATCTGACAAATTGAAATTGTTGAATAATGTAACATTTCAAAGAAATATATTCTGGTTTTAATATTACGAAGACCACCACATAGCCGGAATAGAAAGATTTTTGTTATCCAAGAACATTGTTCGACATAATTTAATAAGATTTTTAGGACAAAATTTGAATTAGTTTAAGACCTTTAATATAAAGTAAAATAAACACATTTTTTTTATTAAGGTAGTTACAAAAAAGCAGACATGCATCTTATTTTTGTGACTATAAATATGAATCATCAATAAGGCTGTCAGAGAGAGCCGTAATTCAATGGCGAGCCAAGCGGGTCAAACGAGGCATGCGTGAGCCGCTGCCTCAGAATGCTTTTCACATTCACGTCACGTTAGTATAGCGTTGCTTGTATCGTGCGGATGTTGCGTAATATTAATTCCAATTCCAACGGATGTTGGTGTTTATGGTGGTGTATAGTAGACAATTTAATTTGATACTTTTTAATAAATAATGCGTACGCTTATGTCCCGCGGCTCTGTGCTGACAGCCCTGATCATTAACAGTTCAAACTGTAAAAAATTATTTTAATGCTGATAGTCCAACTAACTTGAAACATATTTTAAGAAGCCAAAGGTCAATTTCTAGCTGTTATATGTATTATATGTTAAAATTAACCTTAGGGGTTAACTGTATATAACTCTTAGATTAGGAAAGATCCTGTAAAGTTATTGCAATTATTTTCCTTATTATTTAAGGGGTAAGACCACTGTATAATTTTCAAATCTATTTTTTTATTGATTTAAAACATGCTTTTAAACCTTCTAGAACGGGGTGAAAAAAGTTTTATGCCTGTACAGAATTTTTTTTTGTAATTTCGGACTTCGAGAGAATTTTTTTGTTTTTTTTTTGTCTACGCAAATTTACGTCAGTTACACTGTATGCCATAGAGCGCCTCAAACAACATACCTGTCGAGAATGACTCCAGCATCGCCATTTTGTACTATTTATGAATAAATATATTTTTTTGAACACTTAAAAACATCGTTGAATATTATTATAATCTTCCTATTCCTTTCATTAAGAAAAAATCGCAAAAATATGATTTTTTTAGAATTTTACAGTGGTGTTACCCTTTATTGTAATGTTGACAAACCTCATTTATTGAATAAAAAATTGTCTGCAGGAAGCACATTCAGCAAACTTTTTGGTGGCGAGGAAGAAAAACCAGTTCATGAAAAACCAGAAGAAGAACCTACAGCTGCTGAAGAAAAATCATCTGATAAAGGAACGACTGACAAACAAACCGGTGATGCCAAAGAATCAGACAAAAAACCTAAGAATGGAACTACAGGGAAAAATACCACTGAACCAGAAGCTTCAAAGGATCTAAAACCTAAAGTAGTTACCGTCAAGGAACCAATAAATGTTTCTGAGGAAGTACTAATGTTGAACATATTAAATAAGAATCAGTTTGAACAATCTATAGAGAAAATAAAGAAACTGGACAAAATTGAATATGAAATTAACAGACGAGCTACTGCTTTGAATAATCTAGAAAGTTTCGTTATAGAAATTCAAAACAAGTTATACGAGGACGACTATACTCAAGCTGGAACAAGTGAGGAAATCGAAAAAATAAAGGCAATGTGCAGTGAAATATCTGATTGGCTATATGATGAAGGATCTGAAGCAGACGCTGATACATACGAGAAAAAGCTCGATGAGTTGCACCAGCTGACAAGGGATCTGTTTTCAAGGGTTTGGGAACACAAAGAGAGGCCCGAAGCCCTGAAGGCATTGCATTCAATGTTGAATCACTCATCTCATTTCTTAATATCAGCCAAAAATCTCACCAAAGATGTAAATCCCGAGAAAGACGTGTTTACTGATGTCGAAATTACCACTTTGGAGAAATTGATCAATGATACCACGGAATGGCGAGACAAAGCCGTTAAGGAACAAAAGGAACTGAAGCCTAATGAACCAATTAAATTGACGGTGAAAATACTGATGGATAAAATGGCAGCTCTAGATCGAGAAGTGAAGTATTTAATTAATAAACTTAAAATGTGGCGGCCTAAAAAAATAGAAAAACCTGCCGAGGACAAAACTAGCAATGGTAGTGGGGATAAAAATGAAACGAACGACAATGAGGAAAGTGTTATAGAGGAAGTGGCTGAAGCGGAAGAAGATACCATAGAGGCTCCAAAAACCGAAGAAACTATAAGTCCAACTCCTCATGAAGAACAACCAAACGATAGCCACACAGAACTTTAGTTTAGTGCAATTTTTAGGTTATAAACAATGTAGTGCATTTTTGGGGAAAAATTCGTAAACTTTTGGTTTTGATTTTATTCAAAATTTTTCTATAAACCAGCTGCATTTTATGGTTGAGAAAGTGTTACATTAAGTATGCATAAGTTAATGTTTCTTAGATGTGCTGAAAAGAGGAAAACAATCCGACCTGGAAATTCTTTATTCTAGACCATCTTTTGAGTAATGTATATTTTACATTACAGTTTTTTTTTAATAAAAATACCCAAAAAATTCTAAAGTATTAATTACATGTTTAATAATACGAAAGTATAAGTAATTTTATCGTCGTTTTTTGCTTTACACTTAATGAACAATGTTCAAAATTCTAAATCAAAATAATTAGATATTCAATTTAACTTTGATTCCATATTTAGTAATAATTATGGAGCATGTCTTGACCAAAAATTAAACATTGTTACTTTGAATTAGATGCAGATCCTTGTCCGTGTCTCATAAAAATTTCTCCTAAACATAGCTCAAGTTGGCAGGGATCCTACAAATATTGACATTTAATAATTAGGTTTTTTTCATTTGGTCCATGGTACTATTTTTTTTACTGCGATATATATGTATTCATTAGTGTCCACTGATTACATACTGTAATATTACTTATTTTTATAGAAAATTCACTGATGTAGGTAAGTAAGTTGTTTCTGTTATTTCTTCACGTGGGTCGTCTTACTGTTAATATATTTATTTAATAAATGTACATTGTGATATTTGTAACATTATTTGCATAATTTCGATTTTCAGAATAAAAAACTTAAAATAATTTTCATTCCACCATACTATTTATTGTGAGATAAATACAAATATATTTATTGTGATTTTTTTGTTTTATTCCACTGACACTTATTAAATTACAGGGTGTGCAGAAATTTCATTTGTGAGTGATTCTACAGATGAAATATGAACAAAAGTAGAGCATCCTCAATAAAGGTTATATAAGCTACACTACCAGATAAGTAAAAATTCAGAGGTTTGTGCACAATTTTTGATCATTTATGATTGTTAATAATAAATTAAAACGTACATGTAATAACATGTGTTTTTTCGTTATTCTGTTTCTCTAAGTAACAAATTAGTCCAATCAATCTGGCACTGCCTTATGTTAAATTTACAAAAAAAATACCTCCTGGAAACAAAAAATATAGTGATATAGGAAAGAAAATTCTAAGAAAGATAGTGTTGTGGGGACACACATTCCCTGGTAGGCCTCTGTGTTCATAGAAAATATTTACAAATAAGAAATTGTATAGAAGCAGATTTGCCTGACTTGTCCTGCCATAAATCTTAAAGAATAAGGACCCTTGTAGGTGGCTGACCCTACCCTTAGGCAGGCAATCTGGGCACATTCTCTAATTGACCAGCATATCGAGTGGTTGTAACCCAGTACCTTTATTATTACAATTTTTGTGTCAATCAGTTACTTAATAAAGAATTAGAGTTCTACCTGGCGTGATAATTATTTTGGTGTACAACATATACACCACAGTATATTTTTCCTGTGGCGCTAAACGGCGAAGTTAACCTATAAAATTCATAAAAGTAAAAAAACCGGTTTTCGCTAATAAAAAAAAAACTTGAACTCCAATCGAAAAAAGTTAAATGAGGAAGTTGTAGTTATTAAAAAAACCTATCGATTCGTATTTTTAAATATATCAATTGCTGTATTACTTTTCGAGATATATTGAAAAAACCGTCAAAAGTCGACTTTTTTGTTTTTGCTGTATCTTGCAAATTAAGGTTTTGGAACTTGTTACTTGATGTAAATGTAGCCCTCGGCAAGCAAAAAAGTACCTATTTTTAATATTAAAATTTTTCGCTATGACAATTTTTCGAAAAAAAGGTCATCTCGAAAATCGGCTCTTGCTCGACGAATAGTCTAGAGAAACGAATCAGGCCTCATTTTTCCTTAAGAGTCGTACTTTCATGGTAAAAGAGAGTGATAACGATTTTATTATTTTCAAGTGTCCAAAGAAGACTGAAAAATGTAGTGATATAAAATAGCATGCTATTTAGTTTTGGGTGATATATATCAAAATATATATCATTATATATATCAGATGAATTTTGTTAAAAAAAACTATACTCAAATTAGTTTTTTTATATTGCTAATGCCTTGCTGATTAATTTGACACCAAATACATGTCATATATATGAACTTTTAGAAAAGTTATCAAGTGATCTTTATTTTTTTTTTCATATTTAGATTGGAATTTTTTAATTTTTTTTATCATCACTTCTAATTTTTGTTGCGTACTACCGACTGTTTATAAGCAAGTACGCTGTTTATTAGCAATTTAGTTTTATCAACCCTGAAATAAAAAATGGGAAATTTCTAGAACAAGAAAATTTAGTCTGTATATCACAATACGTACTTAAAAAAAAAATTAAAGATAAAAATTGAAATAAAAATTATCAAAAACTTATGATAATAAAGAAACTGCTTTAAAGTAGTACTTAAAAATCTGAAATTTTAGGGGTGTACTATAGATGGGGAGACCTAAGAGCGCACGTAATTTCAACTCACCCCTTCCACCCTAGGGGGTGGGGTGAAGGGTTTTTTTTAGACGTACCCTATTTATTTTGCGATTTTCGGATTCTACGCGCAAAACTACCCCCGGAAACGCGTTCAAGGGGGTACGTCTAAAAGACCACCCCTCACTTCCTCTGCACCTACTAGGGTGGAAAGGGCGAGTTGAAATCAGGTTCACTCTTAGGTCTCCCCACTTATAGTACACCCCTAAAATTTCAGATTTCTATATTTATTTTTGACGGAGATGTGCCCAAGAAAAATGCCCATCGAAAAAACGACAAAATCCATACGAAGGTGGTGGTTTGGATTTTGTGCGAATTCGGCAAGAACGCGCTTTCGGGGGTAGTTTTACGCGTAGAATCCGAAACTCGCAAAATGAGTAGGGTACATAAAAAAAAAAACCTCACCCCCTAGGGTGGAAGGGGTGACTTGAAATTACGTGCGCTCTTAGTTCTTCCCATCTATAGTACACCCCCAAAATTTCAGATTTTTATATTCATTTTTGTCGGAGATATGCCAGGTACCCATGAGCTATTACAGTCCAACTCAAGCCTACCACACCACAAGTTTTTAGTTTTAAAATGTAAGGTTATGTTTAAAATTTGGATTTATTGATGAAATGGCGGGAAAATTGATATATATCAGCTATTAACATATATATAATAGCTGATATGTATCAAAAATTGATATATATCAATTTGTTATATATTTTCACTCACATCACTAGAAAAATGTAAAAAATTTTTGCTCGCGATTTTCTCGAATATCTTTTTCAATTGTCATTTCTCTATAATGTCTATTACAGGAATCGATTGATGGCATTTTTACGCGAATTTAAAAAAACGTTGCTCTACGACCTTCTGGAGGCGAGATATATATTTTTTTAATTCCACAGACCGCTATTTAAGTGCTACAGCGTCCATTCTTACAGAGGTTGAAGATGTAGACTTATATTTTCAATAAAAAAAACTGGTTCATTTTAGCCACTTCTGCATTTTTAATTGTCCGTCAAACCGAAGCATTCGAGCGCGGCGCGAGCTAACTGTAGCGGCCGGCGGAGTGGGGGTAACGCTACTCGGCCGCTCCGAAAACTGAATTCGCACGTTCAAAAGCGCTTTTACTTCAAAATCTTCATTATCTCGACTTCTGGACCACGTACAAAAATTATTTTGTACTTAATCTGTGGTAGCTCGACAGGATAAACCAAAATATGACGTTTACGGCAGACTCAAAAGCATATAATTACCTTTGAAAAATGTATTTTTCCTTTAGTCTAAAATTCTCTTACCTCTTATTGTTAACATTTCAATAATTGCTTATGAAATAAAGTAAGTACAACGTTTTATGGTAATTATATCTTTTTGTTATATAAGTATTACAAAACATTTATTTAATTATCATCGTACAGAAAATTACGTGGTACCTATAAAAATATTCGTCAATTACATTATTTATTTTCACAGCTGAAGTATTTCACTATTATGTTTCAATTCTTCTTCTCTTCAATTCCCTCAATTGTGATTCATTTTCTTCTTCTTCCATGGTTTCATTTCCTATATTTTCCACGCAATAAATTTCATTTTCCACATAATTCGTTACATCAATGACTGATTCAAACGCTTCAAAAGAAGCATCGTCTAATTAGATGTTTGGAGTCTTAAAATTTTCACATTGGGATACATCACAATGTAAACAAACACTTGTACATTTCAAATATTTTTTTTACAACCACAGATTTTATTTTTGCAACCGCTAACGCAGTTATATGATATATATTTTTCAAAGGTAATTATGCTTTTGACGCTGTCGTAAACTTCATATTTTGTTTTATCTCGTCGAGCTACCTCAGATTAAGTACAAAAGCATTTTTGTACGTGGTCCAGAAGTCGAGATAATGAAGATTTTGAAAGTAAGAGCGCTTTTGAACGCGCGAATTCAGTTTTCGGAGCGTCCGAGTAGCGCTCGAATGCTTCGGTTTGACGCAGAATTAAAAATGCAGAAGTGGCTAAAATGAAGCACAATATTTTTTTAATTGAAAATGTAAGTCTTCAACTTCAATCTCTGTAGCCCTTAAATATAAAAAATATATATATCGTCTCCATCAGGAGGTCGTAGATCAACATTTATTTTTAATTCGCGTAAAAATGTAAGCAATATCGATTCCTGTAATAGACATTATCGAGAAATGAAAATCGAAAAAGATATTCAAGAAAAACGCAATAAAAAAATTTTTACTGTGATTTTTAAGTGAAAAGTATGGAAACCCCCAAAAATCATTTTTGGGATAAATGGTGAGGACAAAGGTCTCAGCAATTTCCACGGCGTATCCGATGGTAACCTTGACCTTGAGGTCAAGGTTCAAGGTCAAGTCGTTTTTTTTTTTAAATAGCGACCCTCCTTTTCGATCCCAGAAATGGAAAGAGCAGAAAATTCTGCATCCGAATATGACATTGACCGTAACCTCAAGATCAATGGTCAAGGTCAGTTAAAGGTCAAATGATGATTTTAGAGTAGCAATCCCTTATTTCGCCGCTAGAAATAAGGGAGCGTAGAATTCTACATGTTACTATAATCTTAAACATGAACTTAAGGTCAGTGGTCAAGGTCAGGTAGAAGTCAAGTGATTATTCCGGCTGTTATTTTTATTTTCCACGATGGAATAGACGGGACTCATAATATTTTAGTGACCTCAAGACCAAGGTCACTAAGGAGTACCATCAGGTATGTATTCAAAGACTCACTTCCTCTGATTCCGTAGTTAAAAATAAAAAAATTACAGTAAAAGTCAACATTTGACCTTGAACTGACCTTGATCATTGACCTTGAGGGCAGTGTCAAAGTCATATTCTGATGCAGAATTTTCTGCTCTTTCCATTCGAAAAGGAGTGTCTCCGTTTTAAAAAACCGTTTTCTCTAAAATATTAAGAAAGTGACAGAAATAAAATTAAATAGATATTTTCTGGTATCGAGAAGGCACTCGACAACGAAAACCTAAATAAACTGTGGGAATTTAGGTATTTGTATTTTCATTCTTCTCTCTTTTTGAGTCTTGTTAATCAGTTTCCGAATATAGACGAATATGTAAAACTAATGAATTTCTGTAGACGATTCCTTGAAGCAGAAAAAGATATTCGAACGGTTCAAAATGGATTTTGAAGGGGCGAGTGGTACTTTTAGATGCAGAACGAGTTTTGTGGGAAAAACTACCTGTAATTTAACGAAAAAACCGTTTTTCGCACTTTTAGGTAAGGATATTTCTAAAACCTGATATGATGAGCAATTCCGAGGTCAGATTCGAATTCAGCGTTTCAAATACCTTCGAAAAATATGTCTGGTTTATGGTTCCTCCTTCTAAATTTTGTCCGTCGGTGTAATGTTCAAGTATTATTTTCTTGCCGACTATGATTTTAAAAACAATATTAAAAACAGTGAGGTGCTATCATTAATATTTATGATACTTTTTGATAAAATTTTAATTAGTAGAAAAATATTTTTTCAAAAAGTCTTGGCAACGTAACCTTTGCATTCGATGTATTAGATTCAGAAAAATCGAGGAGAATAAAGTATAATCAAAATATCTAAAATGTGGAAAATTGACTTGCTGCAACTTTTTGAAACTTTTCATCTTTCGGTATATTACAACTACGGAGAGATCCATCTCAGGTGTGACAACTTATATAACACACGAACATGACATCATCTGATGATTTTGATGGTCCACTGGAGAATTAGGTTCATCCTTCATCCACAGGGCTAATCAATAATGGCGCCAAAGTTTATGCTAGAACTTATAATCTTACTGGGAAAATAATGTGTTGTCTTTTTATCAAACGGTGCACATTATCCGCTACTTACGATCTCTTCCTAGAAATGATACGAATGTGATATTAAATATTAGATTTCTTTAAATCCATCGACTTACATGTAAGTACCTACATTTTGAGGACAGTTATTCACATGGAAGGTAATTACATATAACATTGTGCTGGTGGTTGCCGTACCGATTTGCAGTTTCGAAGGTAGGTAGGTATGGTTTTTCCGAAGTCAATTGAAGAACCAATAATTTCAAGGTATGTACCAGGCTCGGTCGCTAAGCAGCAACTCGGCGTTTAAATATTTGAAAAACTTGTTCCCATATTTAATTAGCCATACCCTTAAACAGGTCTGGTCGAACTAAACGTGAAGATGATAGAAATTTATACGCTCAGTTGAAGAATGCGAGCGCGGCCAAAGGAAAATGAGCACAGTTGTATTGGGCTTCTGGGCAATAAATCACAGCAGGTGACAAGTGGTTCATAAATTGCCCAGCAGTGCAGTGCAGAAGTGCGGAACAAAACGAAATTTACCACCAATACAGGGTGATTCAGAACTTATCCAAAAAAAAAATTCTGGATGTACAGGGGACCCTTACAAATACAATTTTGTAAAGAAAAAATCAAAAAGGTCAGTTCGAAATTGATTTAAAAATACACTTCTGCTCGGCACTGGAAACTGGTCCACTGTAAAACCTGACCTCGCACAATGCGACCGGTATGGCGGCGTGATAAAAACGGACAAAAACTTTCGCAAGGAAGGAAATATGTAAATAGAATTTTATCGCACCTATTTTATATCGGTAAATTCAAATGCTTTTGCCTTTATTAATTATTAATAAAATTAATTTGTGTTTTTAAATAATAAAATCGTTTGACATACCCGATGCTGCAACAGCAATTGTTCAAAATTTTATCCACTTACGTGTAAACACATTTGGGTCCGTCTTACTCACTTTCTACGAACTAACACAAATGATGTCTTGCTTCACCATAACACAAATACTTCACCATAATACAAATGTTGTCTTGCTTTACCATAAATTAAAACGATATCCATCAACTCTGAGTTGCTATACACATAAGCCATTTTTGACACTAACTACTAAAAAACTGATGTAAATACCAGAGATAACAGGTAAAAACTGCCGCAACGACGGATTTCAGTATTAGGAGTCACATGGCTCTCCACGCGTATTGCGAATGACGCTAGAGACTACAGTTGTCCAGCTATATAGTGGTTTAATGTGCTTAACTTCAATAATTTTTTTCTCAGAAACTATAAGGAGTTTAGAAAAATTTTTTTTTACAATATTGACTCCAGTTCTCATGCCACATCTATTCCCAAATTTTTTTGGATAAGTTGTGAATCACCCTGTATAATAAAATTGTTTGAGGACATAAATAATTAAAATATGTTGTTGGACAAATGAACACATAATAAAAAATTTCTACACATTATACAGGGTGTCCCAAAAGTGACGCCCGTCCTTCTAGAATTTGATTAAGGAGACAAAAACGAATTGAAAATCAAGAGTGAAAAATTTTCCGATTGTTTTCCGTTGTTGTTATTCAAAAAAGTATTCAAAAATCTAAAAAAGTGAAAATCCATTTTTTTTGTTTCAAAACTGAGGTCTGTGCTTATGGGAACCAAGACATATAATTTATAATCAATAGTAGATAAGTATAGTTTTCGATTGCCGGTTGTACCTGGGTGTAAGGAATTATTTTAACCTGAAAAGGATAGAGAAAAAATTTTTTATAATAAAACATAAAATCATAATGTGCATAAATAATAGAAATTGTTTTTACAAAAGGTGTTCAAATAAGTTGCCTTCTACTTCAAGACAAATATTATCACGATTCAACGTTGAAACATGAACTCTTTGTAGCATCTCTTGATCTATTAACGCGACAGCAGCGTATATACGGACTATAAATATTTTCTTTTAAATAACAATAAAAGAAAAATCTAGGGGATTCAGATCTGGTGATCCAGGAGGCCATGGTCCACCTCTTCCAATCCATCTGTCTCGGAAGTTTTGATTCAGATAATTTTATATTCGTAAACCATAATGTGATGGAGCCCATCATGTTGAAACCAATAATTTAGTCTAACTGCTAACGGAACGTCATGCAGCAATGGCAATGGTAAGTTTCATTTAAAAACATACAGCTGCAGCAAATACAGCTTTGAACTACATAAATATTTAATAACCCAGCCCAAATGTTTATTTTTAGTTTTTTGATTAATTTTTTGAATAACTCGGCAAAGAAAAACAATCGGAAAATTTTCCACTCTTGATTTTCGATTTGTTTTTCTCCCCTTAATCAAAACCCACAAGGACTGGCATCACTTTTGGGACACCCTGTACACAAATTATTATATTTTTTTACCTTTAGCAGAAAATTTTTTTAGGGACGCCTATGAAACTCATTAAATTTTATTACCAGACGTTTTTTTGCATATTCAACTGACTATATATAGGACTATACAAGAGTCGCATTCGGCTCACTCTCATTTTTCATTTGTCATTTGCTAAACTGTGCTTCATACTTTTATTTTATACATAAACCACTATTGTAATCAAAGTGTGTATTTAAACATTTATAACATTTAACAGGTTGTTATAATTTTAGATGTGCAAGCCATTAATTGTAAAAGAACAAATGATTCTCAAATATTTTTTAATAAACTCTGAAGTCCATATTTGAAACTAGTTTCATCAACTCCCACTCTGCTTCGATATTTTTAGGGGGAGGGGAGGAGTGGGGCTAATCTCAGGGCTAAATTTTCATGGAGAGACATGTAAACCCATTTTATAATTTTTATGAGTAGATCCTTATATGCCCAAAAAGTAATTTTTGCAAGTTGTGTTAATATTTATTGCAAGACCTTTTCGAGTATAAAAAAAATGAACCCCTATTTTTCAAAAATTGTAGCAGGCATACGATTTGCAATTTTGAGTAAGTGTTAGTTTCCAAATATGAGGGTTTTTAGTGTCTATTGAAAAACAAATTTTTGAGTTAAACAGTCATTTCTCTAGTATCAATTACTTTTAAATGGTAAATTATGAAATTTCACTCCAGAAAAGATGATGTTTTAAATATAGTTAATATGATACTGAAAACTTTCAACTCTAACCTTTGTAGAAAAAGTGTTTTTACCAGTACGTATTTCATTAACTTTTATATTTATCGTTGCTATTTAGTATTAATACTACTGTGTGCATATCTTGTGTGAACGTGTCTATTTCTACATTAATAAACTATGTCCTATTAGAAACCGCATATCATAGAACTCTAGAATCATTGTTTTTCAAAAGGAAAGGGTCACACGACGCTGACGTGTTTATGTCTAGTTGTTACTGTCACGGACGCTGTTTTTCTTTAAAGTTTAATCAATATTTCTAGTGAATTAATTTACACGAATGATGAAAAGTGGATATGTTAAAATTGTATTTTTTGTGTTAGAAATTATCCAAATGAACATAAATTGATTAATACACCAAAAACTAAGACTATCTGACATTTTTGGTGTAGGTTTATTTGTTATAAATGTCAGGGAGACCTAATCAACTGAACATAAAAATGTAAAAATTTTAAACAAATATTTCTCACTAAAGGATCAACATTTATGTACTTTTTCTGAAAATAGGGGCGAGAAAGGCAGGAAGAGGACATACACATTTTTATGAAGATACTTTAAAGTTTCTGACGTATCGTCTAAAAAATTGCTTGTTAATTTAATTATTTTCTTCATATTTCATTAAAAAAATTAGAATTTAAGAGTTTAACAGCAACAATGCATCAAGTTGTCTGTTAAAAAATCAGGCATATTTATTTTTTAAGTTAAGCAAAAAAAAAATATGTCTTCTGCGCACTAAACTGTACTGTTGATTAAAATATATGTATTTTTATTGGTTCAATTTCCTTTTCTTTTCACTTTTCATTCCTATTAAATTCAAAATTCAATGACAACCCAAAACAAACTGCCACCAGTACTTTAAAAAATTTAAAAGGGGAACGAGGGAGAAATAATTTGTAATCCTTTTTTATATGTAATTAATTAAATATAAATACATTTATTAGTAAACAATATACTTTGCAACATTTAATGTTGATTTACCATGTTCACTTTATTGTATCACAATGTAAGTGACAAGGATGTCACTTGTTTAGTTGTTAGGGTGCCCAAAATCCACGGCATTTCGTTGAAAGAAAGGCAATAATTGGTTTCATGAAAGCTGCCCAGGAAGCACAGAATTGATTTCAGTGGACTTTAGACACCTTAAACAAGACACACCATGTACTGATAAACTACACCTAAAGGTAGCAAATATCAAATTTTGATTAAAAGCAGTACGCATATTAATCTTTGTTCAAAGTAACTACTAGATGGTTTTGATGTATTTTTTTCCTTTTCAATTTGTTGAAAATAAGAAAAGTATAAGATTAATTACTGCACTCAATATTTTCAGATAAAATTTGATATTTCCTAGCCAGTATAAAAAATTTACAATATATTGCATGGCAGTTTTAGTATTTTACAGAATTTATGGTGCCACCTTATGTTCACATATGCGCAAAATATCACAATTTCACTAACCTACAAGCTGCTAAGTAAATTAAGATTTGCTTACAAAATTGCAGCAGCACTGTTACATGAAAAGTAGTTTTATATCATCAAATGATACTTTATTCAAAACCATTTTATTCACCTAAATCTATGACGTACTATAGAAGAATTCTTAAACAGGTAATGCTTCATTTCTCTGTACCTGCCAAAAATTATAAAAATGGTATATGATATCTGAAATTACATATTTCAGTTTAAATTCAGGTTGTCATGTTGTTGGTGGTAAGAACATAACATTTTTTTCTCACTATATCTTTGATAAAGAAATTACATTAACTGAGTTTTCAAAGAACAGTGCTGTTGCGTACTACATTATGTTAATAATACTAACAATCACTTTTTGTTAATGATTTACTACATTCCTATGAGGTGTATTTTTTAAGAATCAGTAAAAAGAGTTTTCTTGACTTTCATAAAAGAGTGGTATCTCTTGCTAGTTTTAATGGAATCTATGCGATTGAAATTTTGTATTAACTATGTAGGGTTAGAGTTGTTTAATTGGAGAAAATTTATCAAAAATTTGACCCTTGACATGTAGTTTTGTATCAAGTCACAGAAGTTTACATGACTCTACTCTCTGACTTATACGGTGATTTTAAAGCCAAAAAATTTAAAAAGAGTTGGAGAAATTAACTTCGATGAAAATGTGAAATTTATACGTTTTTATGTCAGCTATGTATTTAAATTTGAAGAGGAATGTCTATTGTGCTTTTACAAAATGAACATTATTAATTTTCCAGTCATATTTCCAAGCAGGATTATTTATTCTGAATAAATATTTGGAAATATTAGTTAAATTATTCAGTTAAAAAAAATCAAGATAACAATTTTAGAAACCACAATAAAAATCACAAAAAAAACGCAAGAAATAATTTATTATAAGTGCTATTTTAGCACTGAAATACTTAAAAAAATATATAATTAGGTATAGTAGTTAGTATATCCTGATTATTTTATTCCATTATTATACTACTTATATTAATAATCACTTAAGTTTTAATTTGTATCCCGTTTCTGATTTCTCCGCGTTACTACTTCAGACCATACATTTGCTTTTCCTCTTCTTCCGAAATGCTTAAAAATTAAGTTGGTTAAAATAATTGTTCCATTTTAAAATTGAAATACTTATATCCATGATTAGATAGTTTGCAATTGTATTGGTGGTTATCAAGCTAAAGAAAGAACAAGGACTAACGTTTATTAAATATAATGCTTCATAGAAGCAAACAATTGATTTTTTGGAAAAATTTTCATTTAGTATAACATTCCTTAAATAACACAAGCCGAACTGATTTTAACCCGACAACACGAACATTTTGGTAATTCTAATCCAAGGTTCAAATTTCTCAATTGTCTCTAGTTTTCGAGACATCCTAACCTAAAAGTGCCAAAATTGCAATTATTTTGACATATTTAAGGTTATGTTACACGGAAAGCAATTTTTTTACTGAAACCATTAATGGGGTTTTAAAGTATGTACTATATTTACTTACTATACTGGGTTAGAGAGTAGGCCAAATTTTGTCGGCCTGTGAATCAGCAAAAAATATATAAATGTTGGTCTCCTTTCCGAGAAAAAATATGAACGCAATTTTTGAGTAATAGTCTTGATTTAGCTTAGTCCCCTTACTTAATTTTTACCAATTCTAGACCAAAATGATTAATTCCGGCAAACTTATTGGCACTATTTACATGGAAAATAAATACAAATAAATTTCTCTAAAAACGGTAGGATCCCATATTACTCTATACTGATAAAAATATTTACTTAGTATCATTCAATTTCTTTTTACAGTCGATTATGATTTCATCGCCAGAGCGGATGTTGTAACTGTACAATCTTTTGCTGGGATATCTCATCTCTTCAGGTCCCTGCAAAGATAAAATAAAAAAATTTACAATTTTTTTAGGTAGAAGAAATTGTAAGGTGGGTGCAACAAATGCAAATATTCAAATTACCTGAATATCACGTAGATCCTGATCAACGTAAAACAGTCTCATCTTAGCAGCTGAGAAGCCAGCAAAGGCCTCCAGTTTCGTTTTAAGATCAGTAACAGTTCGATAGACATCGACAGATCTAACTTCACTGTTGGACCCACAAGTGAAAGTTACTTTAACCCTCTTCTCTGGTCGAAGATCTACGTTTACCAGGGGATCGAGTTTGCCGTGAATCTGGACCAATTCAAAGAACCTACAAATAATTAAAACAATCCTGGTTGATTAAAGAAAAAACTTAAAGTATGAATCAATTTTTAGAAAATTCTTAGAATGAAAGAAATTGGAAACTGATTCTGGTTTTTAATTTACAAAACGTTAACATTTGTGGGCAAGAGTCAGCCCTTACTTTGACATATCTGTTAACGTAGGTTATAAACTCAATGATGCTTTACACACTACTTTCAATATTTACTTACCTTTCTGGTCTATCACTTTCTGGTTTATCCATGTAATATCTGATGAAGGCTCTTTCAGAATCTTCACGTTCGTCTACAGTTATTTTGCCGCCTCCATTCAAAGTAGTCACATTTGGAAGCCTTGCAATCAGCAACTGTCTTCTTTCGTGTTCAGTGTATTCATTTGTATCCCAAAGAGGACATCCCTAAATATAATAAAAAATAATATTTTAGATAAAAAGATATAAAAAATGCTCCTTAAGAAATAAAAAAATATATTATAACGTATAGACCAAAGCTTTTTGTTCCCTTCCTGATGAAATTAAGGCAACTTGGTGAGAGTGGAACTGCGAATAAACAATAATTCAAAAATAAAGAAAAAATCCAAGGGCAAAATTTCTGATATATTATTAAAAATCATTTTTGTAAAATAAATTTGAACATCATGTACAGAAATATAAGATCAATTATTTTTTTTATTTAAATTTAAATTCCATCAATTTGATTAAGCAGATTAGAACAAAAACACCTTGTATACCTAGTAGCAAACAGAAAAGAAACGTCAATAAATTATTTATATAGAAGTATTACCAGTTAAAAAATTAAGACTACCTATATTTCTACGGAAATTTACGTTGTGCACTTTTATCAATTTTATCTAATCTTCACATGCCTTGTATACATTTTAAAATTTCTTTGTTTCACAACTTTTCGCAATTTTTAGTAATTTTTTCTAGTAATTTCTCCATTATTTATAACTCATTTTAATGTGCGTATCTGAGTAAGATTGACGCTTTGCTCGGTTGAGTGTATGGCATGTTTTTATGGCAGTCAGTAGCATTGTGTATCGTGAAAATAGAGCGGCACATGGCTTGACCATCGATTAAACATATTTTCGCGTATTGCCACTAGCATAATAGAGATTACTACTGTTTATTTATTTGATTATTGCCACAAAGTTTCCGACGTCTAGTTATAACTTCTTCGTAACTATTAACATACAATTATACCTATGTAACATAGGCTATGTTTAAAAACTTAAAAAAATGAATAGAATACAAACTTAGACGTTTTTTAATGAATTTCTTATTTCATTCAATACTTCTGCTAGGAATAGAGGCATTCTGCATTTACTATAGCAAATCTCTACAAAACCAGACATAAATAGGTAGGTACTTAATATAGGTTATATGTTCCTACAAATAAAAGAACTCCGTTTTTTCTTTATAGAAAGAACTATTGTTATTAAAGTACCTAAAGTATTTTCTTTACAGTGACATGATTAAAAAGATCTAATAATTCATTTTTAAACATAAAATAAAAGAAATCATGATGATATTCAACCTTGCTCTAGTTTTGCCTTTTATATCTATTATTATTTATTACAACCGTTCATTATTTCTTGTAAGTTTTATGACACATTTATTTTATTAGAAAATAGACCTACCTGAACTCTGACACATTCTAAGACAGGAAATTTGGATAATCTTTCGATATCATTCCATGTGGAAAGTTGTGTGGAATTCAAATTTAATATTTTCAAACTCCTAAAAGCATCGTGTGGCGATTCCTTATTATTACTCGATTCTGGTTCACTTTCAGACCTCTCATAATTCCTGTTGCATGCAGTCTCATCACACTCGGAACGAACGTCCAATGATTTTATAGGACAATCGGCTAGCACCAAAGTCTGTAGGTTGGGAAAAGCATAACCAAGCTTCCTAATTTCCTGCCAATTTTCTATGGGATTCCCATTGAAATGCAAAATACGTAATCCGGCATGCTTGTGGTTCAACTTATAATCTCGGCATCGACATTTCTCTGTTTGGTTATCATTCTCTTTATCTTTGCAAATGCAAGTGGTTTTTTCTTCATGAAGACAGACGTTATCATATTCGTTAAGGCTTAAGTGCAACTCATCAAGACGGGGAAGGTAGTCCAAAATATCCTGGACGCTCTCCCAACTTATGTAAGTGGAGTTCAGGACGAGGTTCTTCAGCTCTTGCCATTTCATGTTTCTATCAACTTCGACCTGTCGAAGAGGCGTTCTTAGGACATTGAAGCTGAGGTTTACGAACTTTAGACGAGGCATCTGTTGTAGAATCCCGAACACCTAGTGAGAAATACAGTTTTATTTACCACTACTTGAATAAGTTCTTCAACATACCTCCGGCCAGTCGTTTAGCTTGTTCTTGGCAAGGTCTAGCTCTTCTACACCGGCGCATTTGGCCATCAGAGCGTCTTTCTCTCCGGCAGTGGCGATATCGCAGTCGTTGAGCACCAATAAAGCTGGTACAGCGGCCCTAGGTGACCTGCAAGGCACAAATATCGATACGGAGATACCCTCGTCTTCCGATCCTTCTGATTCTGTCGAACTTTCGCCATATTTTTGTTCTAAGGCCTCTAGTATGGAAGGCATTTTGGATTACTGGAAAGATAGTCAAATGTTAAAAATATACACAAATGTACACAGCAAATCAGGAATAGCAAATGACGTGTTAATATTCTGTGAACGTTTCCTTTGATTAATAGATTTCGTAAGATGATTGAATTACAAACAAGATTAAGAGGCGTGAACCTATATTAACGCATATTCTGTGGGTTTTTAGAAAGTTTTGTGTCTTACCATGATTTTAAACTAAATATTTGAATCGTTTGGACATTTTCACTGAAATTTGGTAGCAGTGGACATACCATAAATATAGAGGACCTTAAGACATGATTGACACAGTTGTATGACAACTACAATCTGTCGTAAGACAGATAAGACAGATGAAAGCAAATGTCAGACTTCGAGTAATTATTACAACTGCATAAAATTGTGGGTAATTTATTTTACTTCCTCGGTAATCTTACATAACTGAATAAATAATTGTTTTTAATCATTGTATACTTTTCAACAACATGAGCTTATAAAGGGCGATGCACATAAAACTTGTTAATTCGATGCGGAGATTTTTTTTATTATGTAAAAGCTATTTGATCAGAACACTTTATAAGTAGTTTTTTGGGCATTATTCATAAAGTTTAAACGAATTGTATCCTATAAATAAGTTTAGAAAATCAATTTAAATATTCTCGAAAGCCATAATAATTACCAAGGCTCAGAGATGAACTAAGTGTTTAGTATCGGTTTTTAAAAATGCTTTAATAGTTGAATGATGCAGATTATGAAATTAAATCATCAATGGAAACTAAATTGCATTGGATGTTCAGTATTTAGGTATATTAATAAGGAATTAGTGTAGTATACGGATTTAGTATATAAGGTTTAGTGTACGAATTAAGAAAAACACCCACAAATTCATGTTGTCTGTGACAACATGAATTTTATGGAATATGCACAAACACATCATAGGGCAACCTAAATGAAACAAAAAACGAAAATTTTTTTCAATAAGTAAAATGATACGCAATAACTTTTGTAATTGAGAATATTAGGAATCTAAAGTAAAGTCCGTGTAAAACTATCAAATTTTCGTTAAATTTTTTGATAGTTTGAGGACATCATGACGAGTTTGACAAAACTAACTATTTTTAAATTCTTTTCACTAATTGTTCTCTGTTTTCTAGTTAAATGAAAAATGAGTAGAAAACAAAATATTTTCGGAAAAATAAACTGATAGCGTACTATTTGATCGTATCAAGTTAATTTGTAAATTTTAATACCACCATCCAATTATTCTGGTCAAATATAGATGGAAATTTGATAATCTGACTTGGACCTTAGAAAGATAAATAGTAGATTTTAAAAATTACAAAAAAATACAGTTCCAAAATAAAATGAGTACATATGTTACACTGTAACTCTTTCAAAAGACAAGTAAATAAATTAGACATAGCTGGATAATCCTTGGTTTTTGTTAATCGATCTTCTAGTTAAAAAAAAATGATTTTTTAATAAAATTGGCAAAATTTACCATTTGTTCTTATAACTCTAGGAGACTGTTTATTTCTTGGGAATATCATAGCAAATGTCCTTAGATGTGCTATAATAACTTATTATAATTCGGATTTTGAGGTGGCCATAGAAATTTGCTTCCTCGATCAATCCAGCGATAAGGAAAATGAAAATTGAAATGCGCAATTTTGCATGAACCACATACCTATTCTTCGGTTAAGAAGCAATCACTCTAACTCGTCAAAAAGTGCAGTTTGAGAGAATTCAAAATACGAGGTACCAGTTAGATTTGCGGGTAGTTTACAAGGACATAACAAGTTATGTCAGAAAATACCGCCCCATATGATACAAATAATAAATGTGAATTTTTAGTCTCGCAACTGAGGCGATTCCTCCTATTAAATACTCCTTCAATCAATGTAATTTTATGAGTAAAAATGTAGAAATGACCAATATGAATATGAACAATGCATTAAATATGAAAATCGGAATATGATACAGCCCTATCTTTAACTTCAATTATCTCGAAAAATAACCACACTATTATTATGTAGTCAGGGATAATAATTTTGGAAAAAAATAATCATAACGAATTTTAAAACGATTTTATCAGTGATGTAAAATTTAAAGTGGGGCGGGACTACTTTATTCTGACATACGCCTCTGGTAATAACGAAAAACTTTTACCATACTTTAATATCTCATAAGGTACCTAAACTTTGTATCAAATATAATAAAAAAATATTAAACAGTATCAAAATAGTGAATTCATATCAGATTGATAGAGATAGAGATGGAAACATATTGATTTTAGGTTTAATTTTGCATATTTAGAGCGTATGTCCAATGAAACACCCTATATAAAAATCATAAATATCTCACCAATTATTGATTAGGTACTAAATGACTAGATCAATTGCTGCAAATTTTACACTTACATTTATTTAAAGTTAGTTTATTTATTACGTTATTATTATTACGTTATTAAAGCAATAAAAATTTTAATTAAATACAAATCACGATTCTTAATGACTTCCTTTCTCCAGCTTGTAGTTAAATATCTCCAACTTACATTTACATTAAACGACTTTTTGTCTCTTTTTTTCTTTTGAAACCGTTACTTTATTTGCCGAACCATCTATATAATAGTCGCAGAGCATATAAAATGAATTAAACGTTGGATAATACAAACAGGCTCTTTTACCCCGACGCTGACGGCGACATGTTTGTCTGATTGTCAGCATCACGGGAGGCAATGATCCAGACAGAGTGCCTCTCCGCGCAGACTTTCATGTCGGCAAATGCGTATTTTCTTCGTCGTCCTTCACCCCCCGGAGGTCAATGTCATGGGCGCGACCAAGGTTCACAGCGATTAACTAATTCGATGTTTGTTTCTCGAGATGATTTTTTTAAATAAGATTTCATATGTGTATGTGACTCATAAATTATAATTGGTGTAAAGTCTAACTCTTATTTATTTGGTATCTTTTTTTCATTTTATTTTTCAGATTAGGTTTGTGTTACTTCAAAGTTACTTAAGAATGGAAATCGAATATTTCTGGTTACCCATTTCCTATTTTGTGTTTCAGTATAACTTTTTAAAATAGTGGCAAAATTCTACAAAGCATTGGGCGAAGGATAGGCAGGCAACAAAGTAAAAATAGTATGAAGTAACTAAGACTTTAGTGAGTACGCAATTAATTTATAAATATGTATGTTCTTTAAAAACAAATGATTATTACTTCACAGAATTTTTGAAATAAGTTAATTTTTATTCTTTCGTCTTCTAACGTACCGATCAAAGTTCACCAATATGTTGTTCAATATCTTATTTAATAAGCCGTTCCATATTTTATCTTGGTTGATTGATAAAAATGTGAAAAATAATGTGGGTTTGTTTGATAAACTATATCCCGGAAAGGTCGAGTTTTTTTTTAGTATCCGGAACAAATTTAAGAATCTCCGTCACATTTTGAAGACTCTTCCATCTTCCTACTAATCGAAATTGTTAATGGTAGGTACTAACACGGAGTGCCATATTTTTAAAATACCTCTAAGCTAAAATTTTCATACTATTTGGCCCAAACCACTATAATGAGCACCAAAAATTGATATTATCGCTGTTCTCCTAATCTTTTTCTCTCTCGGTGTTTTTTGATTTCTTAGCCGTTTTAGAAATACTATGAAAAGTTTAAAAGCTGGTTTATCCAACCCAGCATCTTATTGTTCCAGTAGACGAACCACTAAGTTTACAGCAGCTGATAATTGTAATGGGTAGTTCTTAATTTCATTACATTCATTTCTTGTTCCAACAATTAGATTATCGCGAGTGTTAACAGGGGTTTGGTACATTTTTTATAATATGTATCTTGAAATCGTCTAACAAATTTAAAAATAATACACAGGGTGTCCCGGTACTTGATAAAAAAGAGTCGAGTACAGATGAGTATAGATGAGGTCAAAATAATATCAGTTCTTCATATACATTTTTTTCATACGGGCCTTCGTTAACAAGTTACGGGCCCTCATAAGTGAAAATTAAAAAGTTATTTTTATTTAGTCTCTAAACTATTAACTTCAGCATGATGCAAATTTGGTGGTTGATAACACATGCGTACAGCTTGTTTTTGATGTCGTAAGTGAAACTTCATTATGCCCAGAACGCCAGGGGCGGTCTATGCCTAATGGTTAACAACCTAGAATTTTTGCATAGATGACGATCGCAATTTGCCTGGATGATTTTTTCGTCGGCCGAACGCATCTGCCTCCAGCGGTGTCTTTTGCAACCAACTAGGAACTTCGTAACTACGAACTTTTAGAAATACAATCGAAAGTGTTAATTTCTGTGCAGCGCCTTCTACTTCTCGTGGAGGGTAGTTTAGGTCCCCTCGGACATGGGTCTCTGTTTTTTGAAGGGATTGGCTCTGCGTGGAATGATTGGAGACGGCTTTGTGGTTTCGTTTGGAAAGTTGAGCGAAAATTTGAAAACTGCTCGGGACTTAGAATACGACACTGTCGGAAGAATATTAAATGAATAAGTAATAGGTAATGCCTTTTTTAGTAGATATCATATGTATTTTTTAGATTTGTATTACCAGAAGGTACATTATGGAGGTTCCATTCGACATCTTAATTAGTTTAAACTTTTTTGATCACTAAAATATTAAGACATTATTTGTAAATATTTTGCCATTTTATATTTACTATTTTTATATGAAAAAAAAAAGCTTGAAATAAATAACTCCTTACGCCAAATGAAGCAGTCAAGAGATTGATTTTATAAATGTAGTTTTGCCTAACCACAAATATCTTATACTGAGAAAGTAGATAAATTCTTCATTCAACTAGACAATAATCACTGCAACTCATTACTACTACAAAAAAAAACTAAAGTATTTTTAGACTAATCTATAGGTATTATAGAAAGTCCAAAACACTACCACAAGCTAATGGAAAGGACATTTCGGATTTTGTTTACCTTTATCTTAAAATTTACTCTAAAATTTAATTTGCAAATGTTAAAATGT